CCTGTGCTGACCAACTTGGCTGCGGGTTCTTCGGGAACCGAGACGAAACCAAAGGTAGGCGAAAACTCGTCCAGGAGGTTCTGCAGCTGGTGGTTCAGATCCAAGAACAAACGGATCTGCCGATGCTGTGTGTTCGCCCGGTCCATCTTCTGAGTCCAAAGCTCGAGAAGGGCTCCGTGCAAGCTCTGGATGTCCGCCGCCCGGCCTCGCAGCTTGGGGTAGCCTTTCTTGGGCTGGATCATCGTCAGCTTCTGCAGCCTTTGCTTGAACTGCCTCTTCTCGGCTTTCTGGTACTCTTTGATGAAGTTGCTGATGTACAGCAAGTTCTGGACCGGGGAATCTGGCAAGCAATCTTCCACCAGGACTACCATGGTACTTCCATAGAAGTACTGCAACCACCCCAAGTAGAGGTTGTGCATCAAGTCCATGCTGCAGGAGAGCCCGCTGAGGCCAGGCAGTCGGAAGATGGGATTGTTGGGAGACCAGTGGCTTCGCCAGTTCGCCGTGGTTAGGCAAGTCCCCTGCCAGGCCGACCCAGGCCTATTGTCAAGCCAGCTCGTGCTGCCACGAAAGGTAGCTTTGCACAAAGAGCATGGCTTGAGATGGTTTGACCGCCGGGGGGTTTCCAACCACTTGGCATAGTAGTCCAAGTCCCCGTTCAGCTGCACCAGCACCCCGCAGTAACCACCACACAACAGCGAGCCGCTTCGACGAGCTTCGGGTGTGCCTGGGGGATACCTGCTTGTCAGGACCCCAAAACAAAGGCAATTCTAAAACAGCACACCCTACATAAAATAAAGGGAACCAATCAGAATGCATACGAGTGCCTGATTCCTCGCCAATCTCTGGCTGGCCATTTGCCTGCCAGGCAAACCTCGAAACTCCACCTCAAGAGTTCGAAGAATGCAGGCATGTCTCCGGCAACACGAACTTCTCGAAGATGCCGAAGATGAACATCTGGGTATCCTCTGCCGATCTCCCGGCCGCAGTCGCCAACATGCTGTTGAAGCTGAACTGCAAAGCCGAGTGGCACCAGATCTTGCCCACACCCATCACCGGGACTTCATCGCCGTGGAGGCAAAGTGGGATGGCTTTCTCCTGGTAATCAGCTCGTCGCAGGATGGGATGCCCAGACATGCAGGGATGATCCCGGAAGCTAGACCAGAACTTCGGGAGTAGGTCGGCTGTTGGCACGACACATCTCTCCCAGCCACCTCCACTAACAAACATTCCATGCAACATCTCATGGGGAAGCATGTTGCAGGATGGTCTGTCCTCGGGTCCACCCTTGAGGGGTATGCACCTGGGTCGGCTGCACGAGATTGGACTTCCGTTGCAGTGCGAGTTCCAAGGACTGCTGGAAGTTCTTGCCATGCTTCACACTCGCCAACTTCTCCATGAGAGGGAAGGTGGCACCATCATCCCTGGCCGTCTTGATGTCTTGCACGGCGGCTTGCGTGAGTGCATGACAAAAAGCGCCGGAAATTTCGCCTGAAGCGAAAGACTCCAGCAGGAGGCTTTCCAAAGCCGAGTCTCTCTCCACAGCCGCTGCGGCCTGCTCCATTCGTTGGTGTGTGCCTCCTCGTCGTTTCTTTCGAGCTGGCTCAGCCTCTGCCATCTTTCGGGTCGAAGCAAAACAAAACACAACACTGGATCTAAGGTCCTCGTCAGAACTCGGGCAGATGAGTGCCTGAGGTGAGACATGCATGTCACTCTTTGTATATGCACAGACACATACACACACACACACAAAAAACTCGATATGTCCTGCAAAAGTAAAAGGTGCAAGCAACCTCGAAAGTAAAGCTGAGGAGCTGTACAATGCACCTGCTTTGTTTTCTTCCTCCGGGAAAATCGTCATCGGCCAAAAACCCTCCTGTGGGAGGAGTTGTCTTGTGACCCCGACTCCAAATCGGGGAGCAAGAGTGCAGTCTCTATACACTGTGCAACCGAATCCTACTGGTCCTACTTCTTCCGGGCGGCACGAACGGACATTTGGGCCCGAATCGCCGCCACCTGCTCTTCGAGATGATTGATATCAAGCTCCACCGTGTCAATCAGGGTGGCATAGGCCGAAGCATACAAAGGGGCTCCATCTGGCATCTCCTGGAAACTGCATTGGTCGAGCCGACCCTCGATAAGTTGTTCAAGCTTTAAGTTAGGGGCCTAGGGCTTTATATAATTTGGCTTTCGGGTTTGGGGATTGGGGGATCTTACCCGAGCTGTGAAACGACAAGCCTTCCAGGACGAAACGTGCTCCAGGCTGCTCTTGTGGCTTGTCGCCGTCTGGGCCACGGTCTTCCTCGAAAGCGAGCACAATCACTGCAGCCACAGAGCAAACTTCAAAGTAGCACCGGCACCCTTACATGTGGAGACCCTAAACCCTAAATAATCATAAATCTTTCGACCTGCACTCGCAAAACCTTTACATTCGAGAACCCTAGACCCTAAACCCTAAATAATCATAAATCTTTCGCCCTGCACTCGCAAAACCTTTACATTCGAGAACCCTAGACCCTAAACCCCAAATTATCATAAATCTTTCACCCTGCACTGGCAAAACCTTTACATTCGAGAACCCTAGACCCTAAACCCTAAATAATCAGGCAAAAGCCTTTACGTTGGAGCAACCCAAGACCCGAAACCCCAAATAATCACAAGCCTTTCGCCCTGCAACGGCCCCAAACCCTAAACCCCATAAAAAAACACAACCCTGAACCCTCAACCCTAAACCTATAAATCCCCAAACCCTAAACCCTAAAACCGAAGGTGTTTTTACTTACGAAGTGGTGGCTTTCTGGACTTAGGGCTTGGGCTGCAAGCTGTAAAGGTTAGGGCTGAGTTTTCTTTGCTGGCGAATGGCAGCTTCTGAAAGATCTCGCTTTTGTCATCCTTCTGCTCCTTCTGCTCCTGCTTCTTCTTGTCCTCTTCTTGCCCCG